GGTTTTGTCCACAAAATACAGTTCCTGCACATTACAGTATATCCCGTGAAGCTCTTTGGGATGTCTCACCAACATGATAAAAGCGCTATAATCAAATGCAAGGATTATTATCATTGTATCAGGATTATTATTATTATTATTATAAGTGCTTCAATTCACATCTGCCCAGTGTGACAGCAAACTGCACAGACCCAGGAGGTTCCCATGTTCACCCCTCAGTTTGTATTGAGTTGAGTGAGCTGTTCACAGAAAGGAAGGGATGGGGATAAAGGGAAGAGTATTCAACCACAATCCTTGATCAATCAGTGAGATTGTGTGGACATTGTGTGAAGATCAGGATCTGTTGCAAAACCGTCTTTCAGGCTGATAACACTCACCATCTGTCCTCATACTTGACCACTTAGGTAACCTATGTCAAAGAACAGCTGGCCCATTGCACCATTCTAACACCTGAGTGAAACATCCCGTGGCTGGAGCCTGTAACAGTTTCAGCTCCACAAAATGCATCAAATAGCAGATTACCTCACCTTTGCTCATGCAGATATAGCTTCCTCCAGGGCTTGACATCCCACCCACTCTTAGCCAGGTAAGAGCACTTCAACTTCAATTTTACGATTGGGCTGATTTGTAGAATATTTCTGAAACTCAGGCTCAATAATCCTTGTTGCCTTTTTATTAGAACTGCGGCTAGAAAAGTGGCTTCCAAAATTAAAATTCAATTTAACAATTTCCCACAATTTTGCATACTCTTAAAATTTGAAAACAAAATAGTTTTCCCCGGGCTTGGGTGGTATTTTAAGCCTTGGGTCTTTGACCCTCACTAAAGGAATCATTATTATCTTAACTCCTAATGGGCAGGGAAGGGCCTGATCTAGATCTAGATAAGCATTGGGAAGCTTTCCAGTTTATCGTACTTAGTAAACAGCACAGTTTTAGCTGGTTACTTGTAATTAGCTTGCTCTTTGCTCACTTTGGAGTTCATAATTTGTTGTTTTCTGTCAAGCCAGGCTTGTGTTATTAGCGCCTAGAGTGTGTGTGTGAATCTGCCTGTGTACAAATAGCAATTCCAATGAGTTCTCTATTGCCGGAACTGGAAAGTTAAGCACACTGATGGATTTCCACACATCCAGTCACTCAGCTGATTGCCATAAAAGGCTAATAGGGTGGTTGGTGCAGCCCAAAAGGTTCACGTTATGACAGAAAATAGGATGATCTGCTCAGATTTAGGCACAAACTTACTGCACATCTGATGTATACTATGCCTGACTTAGATTCACATAGAATTACATAGATTGAGGTGCCAGACTGGCTCAGTGGGTACTTTTTCCTCTAAATCAAGATGATTGTAAGTTAAAGCCCTACGCCAGGACTTTGAGCACACAGTCTAGGCTTACATTCCAAAGTAATGTTGGGGGAGTGCTGCTTCATTGAAGGTGTCACCTTTAGATGAGATGTTAAACCAGTGTTTCTCCAATGGTGTCCTGGCCAACAATCCCCCAATTCACTTTGTGGCTGCTTTGGGACATTGCTGTGTGGATTGTGAAGTGACAATGCAATAGAATGCCATAACAAATACAAGGATCATTATTATTAAGTGTTGGATCAGATAAAGAGCAGGTGAGGCTTTGGTTGCCAGTAATTGCTGCTACACGCCTCTAGGTGACAGTGCAAACATCTGAGTGGCCGAACAGCAAACTCAAAGATCACCAAGTCTCAGTATATTATAATGATTCATCAACTTTATATTAAGTTTTTTGCGATGTTGTGCGAAGTACAGAATGACTTGAAAAACAACGTGAGCAATATTTTTAAGGAGTTTATGAGTCACTTATACTGTTTCTGTGTTGAAGTCTATGACCCTATTTTGTCACTCATTTGTTGAACACAGCTGTATGCAATCACCTGCCGTGTTTCGCCTACAAAGCATACAGTGAATTCACTTTATATTATATCCTGCAAAGCGCTTTAAGACGTCTCGATAACGTGATAAGGTGCTATATCAAATGCAAGGATTATTTTGCATCAGTCAGTCACTCTAATCTCTTGCTTTGTGAGGAATTAATCCTTCAATAACGTAACATAACGTGAGTGGAGTCCTGTAGCTCAGTGGTTAGAGCACTCGCTTTGCAAGCGAGACACCTGAGTTCAATTCCAGGCAGCGCGAAACCTTGGGCAAGTTTCCTTTCTCCACACGACTGATAATAATCCCTCCAAAATAATAATAAATTGGTCATTTTCAATCCACAGCTGTTTGTGGGACGCTGCTGTGCGCAACTGGCTGCCGCGTTTCGCCCCAAATATACGGTTAATTCACTTTACAGCATATTCTGTGAAGCGCTTTGAGACCTCTAGAAGACCTAAGAAGCGCTATATCAAATGCAAGGATTATTATTATTATTATTAACATATTTTAACAAAAGATCCCACTAACAAAAGTTCATTTTTGAGTTCAATCAATTAAACTCATTAGTTTGTGTGGGGAAAAAACGTTTAATTTTAAAAACACATTAAAATTAAGGACAATATAGAATATAGATAGATTTCTGTTAGAAAATAACATCTCGGAATACAATATATAGTTTGGGACACGACATGTCAAGTGATGGTGAAATGGATGGACCTTGTCATTTTTTGGGGGGAACTAAGGCCAATTGTCTTCAACATCTCCCCGTTCCTTATTCCCCACCCACCCCACCACTGATATTACAAACTTCAGCACAGAGCTAGACTCAAACCTATGACCCTCCTGGTCTCCAGCTTGTGATGTGGGCAGTGCCTTTTTATTTGACCATTGGGGGGAGCCCTTCACAACCACTGTGGCCAGAGACTAACACCATAGAAATTTACAGCAGAGGAAAGCCATTCATCCCATCGTATCTTCTTCTAATAAGAATAATAATCATAATAATCCTTGCATCTGAAATACTGCCTTATCACAACTTTGAGATGTCTCAAAGTGCTTCACAGAATTTACTGTAATGTAAATTGACTCTATATTTTGTGGGTGAAACGCAGCAGCCAACTGTGCATATTAAATAAAAATTATTTATTTTTTTGAAGGGATTATTACCCCCAGAAAGCAATCCGCCAATTGACTAGGAAGTAGGTTCCTACTTACTGCGAGGTAAACAGAGACGTGTGTATGGAACAAGGAAACTTGCCTGAGGTTTCACCATGGGCGGGAATCGAACCTGGGTCCTCTCGCTTGCGAGGCAAACGCAATAACCACTACGCTACAGAATTCCATGAATCATACATAGGTCCCAGGATAATGGACAGCGAGGCTGATAGACTGTTAACTACCCTCCTGTTCCTCGGGAATGTAGGGATGCCTTGCAGAGGAGATTGGGCATTTGCCAGGCAGCTTATCACAGGGAGTGAGGAGAAAATCGCTTTAGTAAAACCATTTGTGTTAACACAATAGCCGAGATGAGACAATGTTGCCCAGACTGGTTGAGCCACAACTAAATAAGTACTGTTTGATCCAATCAGTTGCTATGAATTGACCTCAGTGCTCCTGAGATAAAAGATAATGATTCATAAATTAATGCGTATACATTGAAATATTACAATGAGCTTCACAAGTAATTGTTGTCAAGTGTACCGACTGTAATTGCAGCCAATTAGCACACAAGGTTCCAATATATAACCATGAAGTGATTGGTCAATTTTATCTGTTGGGATTGTTGGCCAGGACAACAGAAGGAATTCTCTTTTCTTTTCTATATTGTCAACAGGATTCTTAATGTCCACCAAACTAGACAGTGAGGCCATGGTTTTAACATCCCATATTGGAGAGGAGGGCAACTAAAATGATTGAGGGAATGGAGGGACTGGACTATGAGGAGCGACTAAGTAAATTGGGCATGTTCACAAATAGAAGATTGAAAGGCGGAAGGTAGAAAAGAGAAGATTGAAAGGTGACATGATTGCTGTCTTTATTAGGATTCTAAAGGGGCAAAACAACATAGATCATGACAGGCTGTTTCAACTTGTCCAGAATAGTAAAACCAGAGGACACGGCCTGCGATTGAATGGGGGTAAATTCAGAAGGAATCGATAATAACACTATTTCAGCGAGTGAACAGTGAACCTGTGGAACAGGCTTCCTGGGGAGATGGTTGAAGCAGGAAATGTTGATTCTTTCAAACACAGATTAGTTTTATTTTACTAAATAATATTATGGGATATAGTGCATAGTTCAGGACATATGTGCAATGTGACAACATGGAAGGAAGGTGGAAGGTGAATTAGATGGACCTTGGTCTTTTATCATCTAGAATTTCTTATCTGAATGATGGCATCTCTAATAGAGCACTCCCCCATCACTGCACTGGAGCATCAGCCTAGACTGTTTGCTCAGGATCCCAATATGGGATTCAGAACGTTCAAAAAGAGAAGGGAGTTTCTGTCCCGGTGCTCTGGCCGCCAGTCCTGATAAAATTGGTCATTGACTTCATGGCAGGGACATTTCTATGCCTAAACGGGCTGTCCTGATTGCCTATAAAATTGACACAGTTCCCTTTGCAGTGAACCCCATTAAGTGCATTAAGACGTCCTCTTGCTGTGAAAGGCGCCATCAACTTTTAAGCATTTTCATTATTGTCAAATGCAAGGTACAATAATAATATTAATGCAAATCTCGATTCCAGAGAATGATCTTAAGGAAAATATCAACCTAACCTCTGAAGCTCCACATGCTGGACACTAGCGATCCTATAAAACTCCGTAGCCATTTTAAATGTTTTGCATTTATTGGCAGACCCTATTTCGCAGCCTTGCTACAGTGCAGACTGACACACGCTGGAAGTGACCTGTAGCCCAGATAATTAATCTGCCAGTGACTTATGCACTGTTTACTAGCAGGCTATCAAGGAGTTTCATTACCTAACATGGGCAGCGAAAAGGATTCTGAAATCTTTTTCAGAAAAAAAAGAAAATTAGAATAGCAAGCTATAAATCATTGAAGTCACAGCACATTCCGCAAAGGGGGAGTTGGGGGGGTATTGACGATGTGGGGGGTGAGTGTCTCACTGAAAGATTTTCTGCGATTATAAGTAAATTATGAATTGTGATGGTGGCAGTGGATGTCAAAGGAGGCTGGTTATCAGATAGATTTGTTGTTCAAGAATGTTTATTTAAAAAAAGGAAAGTCTCAGAAAGAGAGACAAGGCGAGCGGGTTCCCGTGGAATGTGCAGGGTGTTTTTACAGCCGCAGATATAATCCACAGAACCACGCAGTGAGGAATGAATGCCCAAGAGTTTTACCCAAATTGTCTTTATTCAGTGTGAGTCTCGGCAGTGAGTGTGACAAAGCCACGTTTCCTTCCAATTGTCAACTGGGATTTGAAATCTCAGTGTAGTTATTCCATTGTGACAAAATACACAGTCACTCCACTTTACAATCTATTCTGTGAAGCGCTTTGAGACGGCTCAATGACATGATAAGGCACTGTATCAAATGCAAGGATTATTCTAAATATTAACATTTAAGATTGTGTAACACAAAGCTGATATTCCACATGATCTGTTGAAGCCTATTACAACAGGAACAGAAGGTCAGATACAGCCTGCGGAGGTAAGAAAGTAACATGTGTAATAAAAATTAATCAAAAACTACATTTACTGAGACAACACATGGAAATAGTGTGGGGTTGCTCTTGGTCAGATTAAGATGGGCTACAATCATGATTTGGGTGTGGGAGAACTCTCTGTTGGAAACTAGCATGTGTTGTTTTTTATGAAAGGATGGGATTGGTACTTGTAAAGAAACATGGCAGCCAATGTCTTGCAAACAGCCATGAAGTGAATGACCAATTTTATCTGGAGGACACTGGGATAAAATCCCGTCTCTTTTCGGATAGTGCCAAAGGCTCTTTAATGTCCACCTGAGCAATCAAATGAGACTTTAGACTATCGTCTCACCTGAAGGACGGCACCTCCCACAATGCACGGTCTCCCCCCAGCATTGCACTGATGTCAGGCTGGACTGTGAGCTCAAAGTCCTGGTGCAAGGCTTGAGCCCGCAAACTTCTTACCCAGAGGCGATGGTGCCACTTTGCCTGAGTCAGGAATCAAAGGAGCTTTCAGAACTAAAGCACAAATCAACCACAGCAAGCTACACCGAACAATTCAACCCAAGGCCATTTGTTGAGTTCTGTTTGGATTTTTGCTCAAGCGGTAACGAGAGGCAGTGCCTGACCTTTCCCGAGGGCAACGCCAGCTCCTTGGAATGGCCTGAGACGCTTCACTTCCAACACAGCCACACGTCAACACCCACAACGGTGTACACAACAACAGAAAAGTAACTTTAATGGGGGGAATAAATATACATTATTCATATGAACAAATATACTTTCAGACGTAAATTTACAATGCCCCATAGCACCATGGGAATAATTGATCCTTCTACAAATAGAAGATTTTAAGTCCACCATCCGGGGTTTTCCAAGCTTCACACTCTCAGCTTCATTCCCACAAAGGCTCACTCTGTCTTGTCCCACGACAAACAGGCTCCAGTACAACCTGGCTTCTGAGCCGAGACCGGGAGAGTTACCTGAAGCTCTTGACAGTGAATATCATCAATTCCTTGAGGTTTGTGTTTTAAAAAGATATTTTTTTTGCGGGGATGGGGAGGGAGGGAGGGGGGTAGATGTGCCGTGGGGTCAGGAGGCCAGCAGTAGAATCCGGATTAGGAAGGCCAGCCCATACAGGAGGGCAGTCGCTGGGGGGCTGGTGATGCCCGTGGCGGAGGGGATCACTGGCCAGTGTTCCTTGCGATGAGCAGGCTCCACGGTGGGTTCCACAGTGATGTAGCCATTGATGATGCGGATGTTGGATGGCAGGACTGTTGTGCTGAAACAAGAGAAACAAGAGTAACACATCTGCACACCAGCATCACAGAAGCAACTTGAGCTTCAGAGGGAGGGGGGCGGGGGTAGGGGTGGGGGGAAAGAGAACCTGTGTACAATTAGTGACCTTTCAAAACCCATTTGATTTCCAATCTCACAGCCTTAGTGCAAATGCCTGTTGAAACCGTGAACACAGCAGTATTTGGAAACGGAATTGGATAATACTGCAGTAACTTTGATGCTCTTAACCACAAAGAGTAGAAAAGGTGGTTTTATTTGCATGGTGAGCGCTCAGATCATTTTACGACCTTTTTTGCACCAAAGACTTTTGAGCGAAATGTATAGTCCAGGCTGACACTCCAGTGAAATGGGCTGAGCTGGGGGAATGCTGCAGTGCCAGAGGTGCCATCCTTCGGGTGAGATATTAAACAAGAACCCCATCTGCCTGTTCAGGTGGACATTAAAGATCCAGCAGAGTTTTTCAAAACGAGAAAGGAATTCCTTCAGGTGTCCAAACCAAGAAACTCTTCAGATAAAATGTATTGTTCAGTTCAGGGCTGTTTGTGTGCCACTGCTGTGCTTAAATTGGTTTGATTACAGCATACACAGTCACTACACTTACCAGTGATTACTGTAAAGACAAAATAATGAAGATTCCAGCTCCCAATCGATAACCTACTAGACGGTGCGTGCATGTAGACATCAGGAAAATATACTAATAATAATCCTTGCATTTGATCACGTCATCCAGATGTCTCAAAGCGCTTCACAGAGTATCCGGGAAAGTGATTTGACTGTGTATTTTGTGGGCGAAACGTGGATGACGATGAGGAAATACTGATTACTATGTCACCTTGGTTGGGCAAAATACAGGAAAAATGGTTGAGGTTGAGGTTTTTAAAATAATAAAGGGATTCAATAGGGTATCTACACAGAAACTATTCCCTGTGGTACGGGAATCTAGAACAAGAGGGGACATAATCGTAAAATTAGATTCAAGCTATTTAGGAATGAAATCAAGAGGCACTCTTTCACCCAAAGGGTAGTGGACATCTGGAACTGTCTCCCCCAAAAGGCTGCTGGATCCATTCACATCTTCAAGTCTGATGTGGACAGATATTGTTAGGTCAGGGTACTAAGGGATACGGGGCAAGGACGGGTAATTGGAGTTGAGGTACAGATTAACCATGAACTTATAAAATGGCAGAACAGGCTCAAGGGCCTCCTACTGTTTCTGTGTTTCTATGCTTCTAACTCTGGACAAGGTGTCAGAAAGGAGTTACTTCGGCCTGTGCCAATGCCTTCAAGGAGAGGGTGTAAAAATAAAACGGTGAGGAATAATTGCACGACATTCTGGTGATCTTTGAAACGCAATCATTGAATGATCAGAGACTGCAGTCTTTTCACGAGAATCTAGTCATTTCACATGAATCCAGTCACTTCACTCAAAATTGTGTTGCCCCTGCCTAACCCCTCTCCTCACCCCAAAGCCTCAACATGGCACACACACACATGCACACACACACACGCACAAGACAGCAGGTCCGAGAAAACAATGGAAAACATTGTGCCCCCACCTCCCCTTCCCTCTCCCGTATGGTACGAATCATTTTAACTGCTCAATATAACAACTATTTCATCTGCTGATACGAACAGGGAGAAGGATGAAGCAGACAAGCCTCTAATAAGAAACAGATTCCAAACTGAGAAAAAAAATTCTTAAGTGTTTACATCAGATTGATAGAATGTTTTGCTTTGCGCGTTAGATCTATGACAAAATGGTTCCAGTCCTGCTCACAACAGCCCCACACTCGAAGTGCCAACACGTATTTGAGGTACATGTGGTATTTCTGTCCACTTCGTGGTTCTGCAGCTCATTATTAAACTGCTTGGTTTGAAGGACTTGAAGGGGGCCCTGGACTGCGAGTGTTCAGGAAATGATACTCATTCAGTCTTGCTGCTGCACAAGAGTCTATTACTCCTGTGAATGACTAACATGAATGCAGCCATGCACAATATCGGGGCTGCTTTACACAACAGCTTCGTCTCAGCTGTTCCTTGCCTACTCCAATTATACTGGGCTTTCCGAGGGCTTTGAATTCCACTTAGACTTTGCCTGTGAGACCATCTCTTTTTTTTTGTGTGGATGAGGGGGGGTTAGAAATACTCCTAGGGTCCTGATATATGCTATTTCCTGAGCATCTCAGAACGCTTGGAATTTGGCAAATTCTTATTTTTAACCTCAAAGCCGATTTTCCATACGTTTCTTTTAAGAACTGCAGAAAGAAAGCAGCTTTGAAATCACGATTGAACTCACCAATTCTGAACATTCTGCATAAATAATCTGACCCCAGATTGGAGTTACTCCCTGGTCTTTCAGTGTCGATAGAACACATGACAAGGGGTACAGACTGACCACTCGTCTGACACTGACCAGTTACTTCATGGCTGCTTGTGGGACATCGCTGTCAGCAAGTTGGCTCCCACATTCAGGTACAAGTGTGCAGTCACTGCATTTTATAGTAAATTCTATGAAGGTACTTTGCGACATCCTCCAGATATGAAAAGCACTATATTGAATGCAAAGATTTTTATTGTATTATTATTATTATTGATGTTAACTACAGGTGCACAATCCATTTTCCACACAATTAATCTCGGAGTTTGAAGGAACACAAAGCCAAGTGCGGGAGAGAACATCATCAACAACAACAACTTGCATTTATATAGTGTCCTTCATGTGAGGCAGCATCTTGTGAGCACTTAAAGAATAAGAATAATAAGTTTGATGTAGCGCCTTATCACGCCATTGACTCATCTCAAACCGCTTCACGGAATATACTGTAGACTGGAGTGACTGTGTATCTTGTGGATGAAACATATCACCAACCTGACTATTGAAACTATTCCATTCCAGTACAGGAACTTTCTCAAACGGGCATCTAATTATAGCTTGAATGTATTTGCCTTCACTACCTTGCTTGACAGGTTATTACAAACATTCATCACTCTTTGAGCACCAAAGATGTTGCTCGATATCTGCCTCTGAATTTGCTTATTCACTTGTTCCCATTTTCTGCCCTCTGCTCCTCATTCCTGGACTACTTTGAAGTAGTAATCTGGGTTTACCTTATCTGTTCCATTAAATTTTTGTCCCCTTTGATGAAATCCTCCCCCTTAACTGGCTTTGTCGTTTAGATTGCAAAGCTTGAGTGTCTCTAAACTTTCCTTGTTCCTCATTCCTTGTAGTGTAGAGATCGTCTCGGTTGCTCTTCTCTGAAGTAAGGGAACATTTTCCCCCCCGTGGTGTGGGGTGGTGAGGGGAATGGGGGGGGGGGGGGGGGAGAGAGCGAAAGAGAGAGAACACAAAATTCTTTGTACAACATTCCTCATGTCAATAAATATAGTGACACTGATGGTGTGCGTTAACACTGCCAGGTGTTAGGCTTGATCATCAATCTCACTACGTTTAGCAACAAGAGGATTTTTTTTAAACAAGGTGTGACCTGGCTTGTAAAGCTCTGCATACCTTCACTAGGCTAGCACTCTACCATTACATCTATACATCCTAGCATTCTATTACCACTTTACAGTGCTTCACCACATCGTCTGGATATTGAAAGTGAACATACTTCCCTCTTAAGTCTGTCTACTTCAAACCACTTAATAATAGTAAAAAAAATAGCTCTTGCATTTGATACGTTCACCCCTGGAGGGCATCTCAAAGCGTTTCACTGTAAATTGTAGTGACTGTGTATTTAAAGCAAACGTGGCAGCCAATTTGCACGCAGCAATGTCCCACAAACAGCCATGAAGTAAATGACCAATTTTATCCAGGGAGGTTGTTGGCTACAACACTGTGACAATACAATTACTCTTTTCAAACTGTGCCCCAGGATCTTTAACGTCCACTTAACCAGGTAGAGAGGATCTCAATCTAATGTTTTGTCTGTGAGGATGGCACTCCCATGACTGCACTATAACATCAGCTGGGACCAAGTTCAAATTAACAACTTAAGGGTTGAATCTACAACCTTCTGACTCGGAGGCGAGAGTGCTACCAACTGAGCCAGGCGTCCATTCATTCTACACTTTTCTGTCACTTGTATCCTCCCAGGTTTAATGCTTTACATTTGTCAGTGTTAATCTAATTTGCCCCGATACCCTCGATGGTTTCGTGGGTAAGAGACGATGCCAGCATTGAAACAGATACTGATGGAAAGGTGTCAGTCTTTTTCTTTTGTCTCTGGCTGATCTCAGCTGGGGTGTTCTTTGGAGCTACATGGGCCTTGACCTTCCTACTTTAGGGAGAATAAAAGAAAATCTGTTGGAGTTTCCCCTCCTGATAGCTGTGCAGTGATCCCAAGCTGGGAGATGTCAGGCTGTGTGAGGATCTGCGAGAGCTACAGTGTTGTGTAGCCTGCCTGACACTTAAAACTGTTTATCCTGTTCGAGTCTCAACTGTCCTTCATACCCAACATCCGTGCCATGACCACTCCGTCTTCCCCCACCTCCGCAACATCGCTTGGCTCTGCCACTGTCTCTCAACGCAGGCCGCCGAAACCGTCATACATGCCTTCATTACATCCAGGCTCGACTACACAAACTCACTGCTTGTCGGCCTTCCCAACTCCTTCCTCCACAGGCTGCAGACCATCCAGAACTCTGCAGCCTGTATCCTCCTCTCCCGCACCAGGCTCCGTGATCCTATCACCCCCATCCTCGCCCAACTCCACCGGCTTCCCATCACAGAGGATACAGTTCAAGATCCTGGTCCTCACCTTCAAAGCTCTCCATAGTCTTGGTCACCCCCATCTCTGTGACCCCCTACCAACCTTCTGCTCCCTCCGCTCAGTGGGCTCTGCCCTACTTCACGTCCCCTGCCTGACGGGCAGGCCTTCAGCCACTCTGGCCCCATGCTCTGGAACTCCTTCCGGCAGTCCCTCTGCCTCGCCCTCCCTTGCCTCCTTCAAGACCTTCCTCTTCAACCGTACCTTTAATCCCCTGCTTCCCCCCCACCCTCCACCCTCCCCGATCCCAACCCCCAGCTTGGGTCCGAAACAATGCCTTGGGACATATTCCAGACATGAAAGGCGCTGTACAAATGTCATTTTGATTGTGTTTGTTTGTAATAATAATAATAATCCTTGCATTTGATATAGCGTTTTTCATGTCTTCTCGACGTCTCAAAGCGCTTCACAGAATATGCTGTAAAGTGAATTGACGGTATATTTTGTGGGTGAAACGCGGCAGTCAATTACACACAGCAGTGTCCCACAAACAGTCATGGATTGAAGTGACCAAATTATTATTTTTTTGAGGGATTATTATCAGGCGTGTGAAGTAAGGAAACTTGCCTAAGGTTTCACCCTGCCGGAAATCGAACCCAGGTCTCTCACTTGCAAGGCAAGTGTGCTCTAACCATTGAGCTACAGGACTCCACAGGTGAGTAACACACCATGCCAGATGGTGCTGGAGGGTGATTAGAAATGAAAGGAGCGGCAATAAAATTGAGAAGAGGATAACAATTATTAGTCACTCTAAGCTGATCAATGTGTTCAGAAATATGTGGTCAGGTCACTGGTGCCATAATTTGCACATCCAATAGATAAATCACTACCCTTCCTGCCCTCCACCCCTGCCTTATCCCAACCATCCCACACCAACCCACTCGGGTCCAAATTCCTGACTGTCCAGCGCTTTGGGATGTCCTCCCGATGTGAAAAGCGCTATACAAATGTAATTTTGTATTGTATTGTATAAAGGTAAACTCTTTATTTTCAGGTAACACTTTTAGCCTGGCACTTAATAATGTTCCTACCATACGTCTAGAATTTGGTCTAGAATTTGATCTCTGACCCTGCGTGACATCCATCGTTGCCCAGAGACTGGCAAACAAGGCCTGACAGAAAGCTTTTATTCTGACAGAGCAGCAAAAGGCATGGTGTGTTGTGTTAGCTGGAGCAAGAGATCAGGTTTTTGTCTGCCATTGAAAACGGTCATTTCCTCAGCTACATACCAATCCATCAGGAATGTTGTTGTCAACGATCACATCAAAATCTGCCCCCACCTGACACACAATAAGACCTCACCTCCCAGGCCAGCCGTACTCCCCGAGGGTCAACAGAACCATCGGTCGGGTTGCTAAGCTGAAAGCCGACACCGTCATAACATTTCCATTGTGTATGGTCAGGCCTAGCTCACAGGATCTGACCGCATAAATAAGCAGGTCTGGCTTTCAGAGGTGACTAAGGCTGGCCACCTTGCTGACCCTTCTTGCTCCAGGGGCCAAATGCTGGAGTTTAAAGCTGGATCTCACTCAGGCACCAGAAAGCTCACCTTGGGCTGGAAGAGATATAAATCTGTCCTTGTGGTTTATTATTGCGTGCAGAAATTAGCTCACTGCTGAGGAAGAGAACTTTCCATTGGTGGTGAAAGAGAAAGATGTTCTGCAGGGTTTGTTATTAGGGCACAGCCTACATACACAACCCTGACTTCATGTTCTCATGGGAGATAAAGTCACCCACAAAATACACAGTCAATTCACTTCACAGTATATTCAGTGCCTTATCACAACTTTTGAGACGTCTCAAAGCACTTCACAGTATATTCTGTGAAGCGCTTTGAGACGTTTAAAGTTGTGATAAGGCACTGAATCAAATGTCATATAGGTTTCTTTCAGTAAAATAACCTTTCAAATATTATTAATTTACAGAGCAAACATTTCCCAATAAATTACCCCTATTTTTCAGCACCTTTAGATACATGAGCTCTTTATTGGAGATTAAAATCCTCAATGACGCACTTGACCAGAAAGGATAATCTATTGGGATATGTTGGGAACAGTTGCATTTTAGGGTTGTATGATTGAGTTACAACAATAACTTGTATTTACAAAGCCGGGTAGCATCCCGGAGCGCTTGACAGTGGCTGAGTCTGACACCGAGCCAGGAGGAGAGGAACGTGTCCAAAAGCATGATCAAAAAGGAAGGTCTTTAGGCAGGATTTGATGGTGGGAAGGGATTGAGGGAGAGAGTTTCAGAGTTTTGAGGCGTAGTGGCTGAAGGCACGGCTATCAATGGTGGGGTGGAGGGGATGAGGGACAAATAGGAGACCGGAGCCGGTCAAGCGGAGGCAGTGAGTGGTGGAGTGGGGGGTAAGCAGGTCGGGGAGGTGGGGAGGTGCGAGGGCATGATGGGATTTGAAAACGAGTGAGAGGATCTTGAAATTGATCTGTTCAGTAATTGTGTGGGTTGATCTTGAATTATAAGCTTGAGAAATAGTTAAGTTTATATGCATTCAAAACAGGCACTGCACTTTCAGTAAATCCGGTGGAGCACTTTGAGATGACATATGAAAGGCGTTATATCAGATGCAAAGATTATGAATATTATTATTACTGCTCTTAAATTGTCTCCTGGTGTGGGTTAAAGTTTACTATCTGCACGGCAGATAGTGCAAAGGGAGTAGATTTTTACAGCAGGCACATGGTATCTTGCAATGTCCCCACAAACAGCCATGAAGTGAACGACACTGTTGTGCTCAAATTGGCTGCCGCTTTTGCCTACACATGAAGTCACTACACTTCACAGTAGAATACTGCGAGGCACTTTGAAATGTCTCGATCAGTTGATAAGGTGATATATTAAAATGCACGGAATGTTATAATTCTGTGCACTCTTACATTTTAAGGTAAAACAGTCTCCAGGCTAAGATTAGGTGGAAACGGCCTTTCAATACACATGGGGTTAAATCATGGCTGCATTACTTAAAATGCTCAGTAAAAAATCAAGAACCGCCAGGAATGATTGACTGCCTTATCAGCCTTGACGCTGTACTGTAAGTGTGGCCCGCTGATAAGCTGGGTCAGTGAGTGTGAACACATCAGCAGCACCTTAAATAATACAGCTCCTCAGGGAAAAGTCTCAACAGCCACACTCTGGTCTCATCCACGCACAGCCTCTGAACTGCGGCAGACGATTGATAAAGATGATAACGGACTTGTAGTCTCTCACATGTTCAAGAACTCTGTCTAACCCTTTTACTGCTTAATGTCTTTTCTGTGCGATAGCAGGTTTCAGATAAGGTAGGCTTGACAGGGTAATATTAATAGATCTGCACTCAATAGAATTGTTGCTGGCAAATCATTGACAGTACAAAGACACCCACCCCTAGCCCATTCCTTATGCGTTCTTTATTAACTGTCCAACAACTTTGTGCAGTGATTCGATTCAGTCAAACTATTCAAAATGTACCTAAAATCCTATCAGTTAAATCACAGAATCATAGAATCGTACAGCACAAAAAGAGGCCATTCGGCCCATCGGGTCTGTGCCGGCTCTTTGAGAAGAGCAATGTAATGTCAATCCCACTCCCCAGCCCTTTCCCCATAACCCTGCAAACCCGTCCTCCTCAAATACCCGTCCACCGTGTTTTTAAAAGTAGTTATTGAATCGGCCTCGACCGCCCTTTCAGGCAATGTATTCCAGATTCGAACAACTCGCTGCGTGAAAAAATTTCTTCTCACCTCCCCTCGGCTTCTTTTAGAGACTATTTTGAATCTGTGACCTCGAGTCACCGACACACCCACCAGTGGGAACAGTTTTTCCCTTTCTAACCTATCAAATCCCCTCATGATTTTGAAGACCTCTATTAGGTCTCCTCGTAACCTTCTCTGCTCCAATGAGAATAATCCCGGCCTCTCCAGCCTTTCCTCATCATCAAGGTCCCTCATTCCTGGTACCATCCTCATAAATCTCCTCTGCACCCTTTCCAATGCCTTAACATCCTTCCTATAGTGCGGTGCCCAGAACTGGGCACAGTATTCCAACTGAGGCCTAAGCAGTGTTTTATATCAGTTAATCATAACCTCCTGACTCTTGTACTCTATGCCCCTATTTATAAAGCCCAGTGTCCCATATGCCCTTTTTACAGCTTTATCTTCCTGTCCTGCCACCTTCAAGGATTCATTTACGTGAACCCCCAGGTCTCTCTGTTCCTTCACCCCCTTAAGATTGTATTACCGCCTATATTGCCTCCCCTCATTCTTTCTACCAAATTGCATTACCTCGCACTTCTCCACATTGAAACTCATCTGCCATGTGTCGCCCATTTTACCATTCTGTCTATGTCTTCCTGCAGTCGGCTCCTATCCTTCTCACTGTTTACCACCCTACCCACAAACTTGGAAATGGTACTTGCTATACCCCAAGTCCAGATCATTTTTGTATATTAAGGAGAGCAGTGTTCCTAATACCGATCTCTGGGGGACACCACTGTACACTTCTCTCCAGTCAGAAAAGCAGCCGTTCACCACAACTCTCTGCTCTCTGTCTCCCGGCCCGTTCTGGATCTGCTGCCCTGTCCCTTTTATACCATGGGCTTCTATCTTTCTTACAAGTCTTTCATGTGGCACTTTGTCAAATGTCTTTTGAAAGTCCATTTAAACTACATCAACTTTTATCCACCCTCTCCAAAAATTCTATTAGATTTGTTAGACAAGATTTGCCTTTAACAAATCCATGTTGGCTGTCCCTAATTAACCCATATTCTTCTAAGTGAAGATTTATTCTGTTCCATTTATAAAGACAATTCAAACCAAAGGTATTATTTTATATATATATAATAATCCTTACATTTGATATAGTGTCTTTCACATCGTAAGGCTACGCCAAAGCATTTCACAATATATACTGCGTGTTTTTGTCGGCCAACACAGCAGCCAACTTATACATAGCTGGGTCCCGCAAGTAGCGATGTAGTGAATGACCAGCTTTTATCTGGGGAATATCACTGGCCAGGACATCGGAGAAACCCACTTCTTTCCGAACATCCCAACGGAATCGTAATGTGAAAGGGGCCGATTATCAATACATCAATGTCAAGATTCCCTCCCCCACCCCACCCACCCCAGATCCCAGCAGGGGCTGTGCCTGGGAACCTTTAATGTGACCTGAGGAGCGGGAGACAGACACACTCACCTCTCTTCGATGCGGACCCACAGGTCACTGAACTGCCGTCTCCGCTTGGGAAGTTTCTTGTGCCTCTTTTTCTGCCGCCCAAACTCTTCCAGCTGGCTGAGGCTGTCGGGCATCAGGAGGTGCGGGGAGATGAGGTCCTCATCTGAGTCGGCCGTGGAGGAAGACCGTGAGGGCAGAAACATGGCATCCACCGTTACCGAACCCGCTGAGGTCAACCATGGAGACGAGCTGCCTGAAGCCGAGCCACTTTTCTGTGTCCTTGTCCTGCGGACAATCAGAACTCGTGTTACTGAGTGTAGGGATGTGCGCCCCACAAGGGGCTGGGCGGGAGGAGGAGGGTGTTAATATCACCAACGTTTCCCCTCAACAACAACAAATGACATTTACACAGCGCCTTTCACGTCAGGAGGACATCCCATGGCCCTGGACTGTTAGGGATCTGTATCGAAGCTGGTGGTTGGCATCAAGAGGGGTGAAGGATGGGGAGGGTAGAGGTAGTCGGGTGACCAAAGGCACGGTCAAAGAGGAGGGTCTTGAAGGAGGCAAGACAGTGAGAGCAGAGAGGTTGAAGGCCCTCCCGCCAATGGTGGGGTGAGCAAGGTGGGGGACGTGAAGCAGGCCAGAGCCCGCTGAGTGGAGGGAGCCAGAGAATGGTAGAGGTTAGGAGGTGGCAGAGGTCAGGGGGAGCAAGACCATGGAGGCTCTGAAGATGAGGACCAGGATCTTGAACTGTATCCTCTGTGATGGGAAGCTAGTGGAGTCGGGCGAGGATGGGGATGATAGGATCGCGGAGCCTGGTGTGGGAGAGGACACGGACTGCAGAGTTTTGGATGATCTGCAGCCTGTGGAGGGAGGAGTTGGAGAGGCCAACAAGCAGGAAGTTTGCATAGTTGAGCCTCGATGTTATGAAGGCGTATATGAGGGTTTCGGCGGCCTGGATGATCCCTCTCTCCCCCAATACATTTATTATGATTATTACCATTCAAAGAAAATGATTGTAAATAACCACGCACTGAGCAATTATAAAAATTCCATAAAATCAGATCGACGGGGCACAAAATGGCATAAAAAATTCTTTTGTTCTAATTTTGACATTTAAAGGAAAATTACACAAAAGTGTCCCTCCTACATATTTATTTTTGCAGGCAGATTACTGAAATTCTTCATTCAACCCAGGAAAATGATAAATCACCTTGAAGCAGCCGAGCACGGGGGGAAAGAAAGAGAGACGAGATTTATGTGGTTCCAAATAATCTGGATTCTGGCTGGGATCCAAACATTATTTACACAGGCGAGCGAGATCACTGCTGAAAGTCTCTGAAAGACACTTAAGAACGTCCTTGGGCTGGCTTTGGAGACAGCAATGCTAGGCTGCTGTGACTGTAAATCAATACACGACTGACCTTCAGCAAAAGATCTAAACTTGCAACGCTGGCCTTCCATCCAAGTGGATTGAAAATGTGCACGTAACCCCATCCCCACCATCACTTCCCACACGCACGCTCCATTGCCTTCAGCAAACTTTGTAAGATGGCTTGAGGCTTAATAATGGCATTATTAATAATAATAATAACATAACATGTAGGAGCAGGAGTAGGCCATTCGGCCCTTCGAGCCTGCCCCGCCATTCAATAATGCCTGATCTTCTAATCTAACTCCAACTAATAACCTGATTCTGCCTTATCCCCATATCCCTTAATCCCTTTTGCACTAAGAAATCTATCTATCTCAGTCTTGAATATGTTCAAGGACTGAGCGTCAACAGCCCTTTGGGGTAGCGAGTTCCATACATTCACAACCCTTTGAGTGAAGAAGTTCTTCTTCAATTCAGTGTGAAAGGGCTGCCTCTGATTTTAAGGTTGTGACCCCTGGGTATAATTTCTCCAACCGGGGAAACAATCTCTCACTATCTACTCTATCATTGCCCTTTGATGATCTTATAGATTTCTATAAGATCCCCTCTAATTCTTCTATATTCTGGAGAATATAGGCCAAAATTGGTCAGCCTATCCTTGTAACTCAACCCTTCATCCCGGGTACTAACCGAGTAAATCTACGCTGCACCCCCTCCGAGGCAAGTACATCCTTCCTTAAATAAGGAGACCAAAACTGCACACAGTATTCCAGGTGTGGTCTCACCAGGGCCCTGTACAGTTGCAGCAAGACTTTCCTACTCTTATACTCTAATCCTTTCATAATGAATGCTAACATACCGTTCGCCTTCCTAATTGCTGCTGCACCTGCAGACTAACTTTCTGTGATTGGTGTACAAGGACACCCGAGTCCCTCTGGACGCTAACACATTCCAGTCTCTCCCCTTCTAAAAAATAACCCGCTCTCCTGATTTTGATACCGAGGTGGATGACTTTGCACTTCCCTACATTATACTTCATCTGCCACCTACCTGCCCAATCACCTAACTTATCTATGCTTCACTGCATTTTTTAATGGCTTCCTCTGTGTTGACACTTCCTCCTAGTTTTGTGTCATCTGCGAATTTAGATATATTAGCTTCAATTAGATCGTTGATGTAGATGGTAAATAGCTGAGGCCCAAGGACTGATCCTTGAGGCACTCCACTAGTCACATCTGAAAAGGACCCGTTTGTTTATCCCTACTCTTCTGTTTCCTACCATTCCCCAATCCTTGCATTTGATACAGCTCCTTATCACGTCTTCAAGACGTCTCAAAGCGCTTCACAGGGTAAGCTGTAAAGTGAATTGATTATGTATTTTATGGGCGCAACATAAGTATGATCTTCATAGAATCTCCACAACATTTGATTCAACGTAGGTTCTACAGTGCAATCTGAAGCCCTTTTTTTTCCCTGGGGTAATCCCTTCAAAAAAATTTGGTCACTCTACACAACTGTTTGTGGGGACGCTGCTGTGAACAATTGGTTGCCATACGTTTCGCCCACAAAATATACAGTCAATTCACTTTACAGTATATTCTGTGAAGCGCTTTGAGACGTCTCGAAGACATGGTAAGGCGCTATATCAAATGCAAGGATTATTATTATCATTATATTTTAAATCTGAACTGCGTTGTATGTATGTACAGGTTGTGGGTAAAGCTTATCTTTGGGAAGCCTGGTGCACTGTGAATCATGGACTGAAGATAATGGGTTTCTTTGGGAAGATAATAGTACCCTAAAACGCAATCAATCCAACTAGTGCTTCCTTGGGGTGCTTGTGTGTGGGGAGGGCAGGAGATTGGCGGGATGGCGGGGGAGGAGGTAATCTTTATGATCCTAAACCAGATCATTTAGGGAAAGAGAAAGAAGAGTCAATAAAAGGAAGTGCCCTTATCTCTCACCCAGTCAAGTGCATCTCTTGGCTATTATTAGAGCCAGCAGAGGCATAGTCAGGCTCGATTGCCCTTGGACTTTCACAGAAAATCTCTCTTCTGATCGTGGAGATAGAGCCTGGCTCATTTAGAACACAAGTGGTTCAGCGTCTCTGAAACTCCCTCAGTCCTCTCTGCACGTATTCTCTCACTCGACGGGACACTTTTTATTTGCAACAGGAAATACCATAAGATTTTAATGTTTCAAAACATGGTAACCTAAATCAACTCTATTCTCCAATGTGGTCCCAAGTGGGAACGTTTCTAGAGAGAATATTGGCCAAAGCATTAGGTTTAGCCCCTGATCACTGTTAACTAGTTGAGAAGAGACTGCGCGGACAGTTCAATATGGGGTCTTATGGATGTGCCGTGCCGTCAGTAGTGACCTCTGCTTCGAATTCTTGGTTCAATGCCTCAGCTGCCCTTCAGGGGAGATGTTAGACTGAGGTCACATCTGTGCCATTGCCTGGACTTTAAAGATCGTGTGGTACTATTGGAAAAGAGAAAAGTGATTCTCCCAGTGTCGTGGCTGGCAGAGAAACAACAACAACAAGATAAGATTTCATTTAGACAGTGCCTTTCACGTCGGGAGGACGTCCCAAGGTGCTGGACAGTTGGGACCCAAGCAGTGGGGAAATGGTCAGGGTGAGGGGAGGGAAGGGAGGGAGCGAGGAGGGGGTAGAGAGTCGAGAGGGGAGCTGAAGGCACGGTCAAAGAGAAAGGTCTTGACCGGCCTTGAAGGAGGAAAGGGAGGAAGCGGCGAAGGCACTGGGGGATGGAGTTCCAGAGCCTCGGGGCTGAGAGGCTGAAGGCCCGGCCACTGATCGTAGGGCGGTTGGGGCGGGGGATGTGGAGCAGACCGGAGCCAGAGGAACAGAGGGTACGGGCAGGTAGGTAGGGGGATAGTAGGTCGGAGAGATAGTAGGGAGCGAGGCCGTGAATGGCCTTGTAGGTGAGGATGAGGATCTTGAATTCGATCCTCTGGGGGGTGGGGAGCCAGTGGAGGCGAGCGAGGGTGGGAGTGATGTGGTCCCGAAGCCTGGTGCGGGACAGTACACGAGCTGCAGAGTTCTGAATGACCTGCAGCTTGTGGAGGGAGGGCCGGGAAGGCCGACGAGGAGAGCGTTCCCATAGTCCAGCCTTGAGGTGATAAAGGCGTGGACCAGAGTTTCAGCCGCCTGAGGGGTGAGGTAGTGCCGTAGTCTGGCCATGTTCCGGAGGTGATGGAAGGCGGTGCCAGTTGTGGTGCGGATGTGAGGGAGAAAGGACAGCTCAGGGTCGAACAGAACCCCGAGCTTCCTGATGGCTCAGTTTTACGCACGTTGAGCTGAAAAAAGTTGTCTCTCGTCCAGGACTCGATGTCAGACAGGCAGGCTGTCAGGACATCGGTGGTCGTGGAGTTGAGGGTAGAGGAGGAAAGGTAGAGTTGGGTGTTGATGTAGCGATTTATCCTGTAACGGGCATCGAGTTGGGAAACAAAAGTAGTTGTTCAATTCATGTCGGTGTGCAAACTTTGTTGCCGCAAACATACAATCACTGCACTTTACAACAAATCCTGTGAAGCACTTTGAGACATTTAGACAACGTAATAATAATAATTCTTACATTTGATATAGCACCTTATCATGTCTTTAAGGCAACTGGGTTCCTACTTACTGCTATGTAAACTGAGGGGTGTGGAGTAAGGGAACTAGCCTAACATTTCGCCCTGCCCGGGAATCGATCTCAGGTCCTCTCACTTGCGAGGCAAATGCTCTAACCGCTATGCAACAGAACTCCGTTACAGGATAAATCGCTACATCAAACGCAAGCATTATTATTGAAAGCTCAATTTTATTGCCTTAAAATTTAAGACTGCGCAGAATTGTGGAATATTCTTAAATTCAATCTTAAATTCAGAAGCCAATTTTCCACAG